TAATAATATCGTAACCGTTATGCGCATTAAAACGATGTAATCTGGTCTTGGACGCGTTATGTGAAAGTGAAAAATGAAAGTTGTCTACTTGAATAAGATCATCAGAGAATTTTGTTTTTCAACACAGATTAAAAAAAATAAATTTATATGTTGTATATCAATGGCAGTAAGAAAAAAGTGAAACAAATGGTGAAACTATGGAAAAATTGCTATGAACAAGGCAGCTTTACCCGATTTACTGCTCAACAACATTAAGGTTAAAGAACCAGAGTTGATTTCTTCTTCTGATCTCTGTTATTAATTCGAAGTAATACATGAACAGCCAAATGAGGCATAAAAAATATTATACGCGATACTTAAAACATATAGCTAATGGAGAAGCTATACACGAACTTCACAAAGTATACTCAACCCTGCAACAAATAATAATAGTATATGATAGCCAATAATAAACAGCATGGAACCGCCAAACAGCAAAGCGTGTTTTTCAAATCACGCAGAACGATCACAACGACCTTTTCAAATTTCTTACGACCTTTTCTAATAAGAAGTCACTTGGACAGAAGATCTTTGCAGTGGCTTTAGGCGTGAACAAAATCTGTTGACAAACGTTGTCATTTTGTTTCTAAATAATCTTTGGTAATTTCTCCGGATTTACTCGGTGTAGTAGCACCGTTTCCTGGCATATTTATCGTGTATCCTCGTGAAGGACCTTAGCAGGGCTTCTTTCGGCAGCTACAATGTATGGATGTAAAATAAATACAACTGTAGATGCATCTTATTTGTTCATATCACCTCGTCAGAACTTCTGCACAAGCGACCTCTTATTTCAAATATTAATATGAATTTGGTAGATTAATTTTACATCTTGTCATTTTTTTTGCATCTTCGCTTGTCAATCAGCCAGCTTATATTACCAGACTTTAAAAGTAGCAAAACTTTAATAGGTCTGTGAAAAAAAAACAGATGTCGTTTTCTACCATAACATGTTGTTAAATCCCTTTTGCATAGTTATATCTGAGGATGTTATTTAACAATTGCCAAAAGGTTACTTACATAGCATCCCCTTTTATTTCCGCGTGTGCTCTTCACATAATCAAAGGCATAGCCATCTTCCTTCCAAGAAGCAATGCACTGATATTCCGTCACTAAAACAGGCGCCAAGGTAATGCTGATCAGTAACAAGTTTACGCCGCTATCTTGATTCGTGATTCTCAGGCACAAACTGTTCAGTAATTACGGTCGTCGCAATGGACATGAGACAGGATAATATTCTTCTATGTCAACGTTTCATTTTTACCTCGAACATTAATAACTTTTATGGCAATAATAACTTGAATGAAAGAGTCCGATGTCGCTCCAATGAAATCGAAACCTCGCTTTGCAATGACTTTGCTAAAAGAATTATACTTTGACCCCTTACAACACCTCTACGGCACTTACGACGGGAGGCATACTCGAGTTTGGGGATCAGAGGTGACCTTACAGAACACAGGAAAGGTCATAAGGCAACAACAATAGTAGAATTTCATTTTCCATGTTCTCAGCTGCTAGACAGCGCTGTTGCCTACTTTTAACCCTGCCACTTAAATGAGCAGTGGCGGTGGTCATTCTTTGGCAAATGATCCTGCTTAATATGAAGTCGTGTTCACCGGTTATAATGGATTGTCACTGAGTTACAGCGTGAACGCGCAGCCGCAGCCCGAAAGAATGATGTTTCAGAATTTCGCGCACCATACTTCTGTCCAACGCATCTTATGTTAATCAGCTGTCGCGGAGTCGTGGACAAACTTAGCTGTAGGTTACACAAACAATGTCCTCACAGGGACTGCACGCGTTCGCAATGGGGTTTCACCATCGTCTTCATATCAGCAATCCCATGGGAAACTACGGGATGCATGGATGAAAGCAAGCCTGCCAACTGTGGCCCACTTCCACGCCATCATATGCTGTAGCAATTGCCACGGTAGTCGTAATAATATCACGATGCTAATTAGAATATTGATGACGTTCATGATAGGATCACAAAAGTGATTATAAAGACGATCATCAGCATAATGACCATTATTATCATTATAGTTATGATGAAATATGTAGGGCAGGAAACGAGTCATCAACATAACTGCAGTTTGTCTTACATTTCTCTGCCAGACTGTGCTTCAGGTTACTGTGGACTGTTGAAGCAGCTTTGTTACGCTGTTGACTACTACTTGCGTATCTTCGTAAAATTTTTCTTCTCAACGGTAATGAACGAGAAGCGGAAAACTTTATTATCAAATATTTTCCATGCAGAAACTGCCAACTGCTCAATGAAATAAGGTCCTGCAATTAGAAGATGGTGCATTTCCAACCTTTTGATTGTCAGTCCTTTTGGTTGCATGCGGACTGGCCGCTGCGAACAACCGAACGACTCCCAAAGTCAGTCAAATAACATCCGTATTTGGTAAAAGGTCCGCAAGACACTTGCCTCATGCTCGATAGTGGTCAGTCATCAATCATCGATTGACCATATTTTTGCGCTATGCATAAAGGTACTTCGCTGTGTGCTGCTTTTCACTTGGTGCATTGCTGAAATGTACTGTGTTTATGTAGTGGATCTAATTACGCTAACATATATCATGATGATATGATTATATAAAAAGATAATTTCTGACATCGTAATTTATCCAGAGGTTTCATTTGGAACTGTTTCTCGAAAATACAAGTGAAAATATCTTAAAGCTGTTTTTTACACATCCATCTCCATGGTCTTCTTTTCCCTACGGATCGCTGAGGCAACAGCTTCACACCTCTCTGATGGTTGTGATCTTCCTCCAGTTTGACTTTGCATAGGAAGCTGGTCTCGTGAGCCTGTTGTTTGAATTCCTGGTCACGTTTCCACACTATCACATGCACTTGCGATCATTCAGTGTCTAGCAGTGGCTAGTAAGCGAATATAACCTGCTTTTACGATGATGGTTGTAAGAAAGCGACTGCCAAGCAGACAGTAGTCTGGATCAAGCTTTGCCGTCAGAACTGTGGTAGGCACTAACAGCACTCGGTTTCAGCCAGGATTACTAGGTAGCTTTATGATAAAAGAGAAACTGCCATGATTTGCGGGAAGACTTCACTGGCAACATGGCGTTCTAAATATTTGACTCTCCCCACCCTAAGGGCTGACATACATGAATCAGTGCAATGACTTATCACTGATATGTGGCTGATATCAAAAAATGAGTTCTGGAGCCGTCGAACACAACTCATGCCTCTGCTTACCTTCTTTCAAGTCTGACTGACCGTAAACGTTTGCCGAATAGGTCATCAGGTAATCGCGATTGCAGCCGGACGATATGTTATGAAATATGTTGCCTCTTCGAATGATGCGATGCGATGTGAACCGACCCACCAACGAACACGGCACTGTGGAGTTTGACTTTCTTTCTATAAGAAGTCAGGAATGACCAATAACAAAGGTTCGTGATTCCGCAATTGTTACTTGACAGCATCAGCCAGGAGCTGTTCTTATACACCTGTTCCTCAGAACAATGCTGCAGGCTCTGCGCCGGATGCAACGGAGCTGGAAGGTAAGGCATGTGATTTATTAAGTTAGAATAAAATCGATATTATACCAAGTTTATATTCAAGGACGGAAGCAGTTCTTCGCTTTGTTGAGATACAGTAAGACCCGACTTCATCATCACTTCAGTGAAAGCGTTTAAACCATTATTCAGCACATACGATTGACTCACCAGTGGTTTTTTGAGTAGATTCGAAATTTCTCGCGATCAACGTCGATGCACTTTCCGTAGATAATCGCCATCGTTGAAGGGTTGTCCTGCTTGTAGAAGCTCATCGTGTCACCAGACACCGCGACCGTTTCCCAGTCGCCTTGAAACCACGGTGGAAATTGACAGTAAGAAAGGGAGGAGGGCCATGATTGTTTGATGGGTTCTGTAAACGCTCATTGGCTTTACGCCCCATTGGTACACCTGAGCATCAGTGCAACAGTACCTATGAAAAACGTGAACTCCTCGTAACCACTGGCGCTGCTCTTCAGCATGTTGTGGCACGACGAGTCGTTCGACAACGCAGCCAAAACAGTGCTTCTGACAGCAGAGCTGCCCGCCTTCATCAGCTGAACGAAAAATGCGTGAAGCTGCCATCCCGAGAACATACCTCACGTACTCCGCATCTGAACTCTTTCGCTTCGATGTTATAGAGTCCAAAGTAAATCTCATCACTCTGCATGCCGTTCTTCCATGAGCCGAGGCACTGCAAACTGAGGTCTAAATTTGAAGCATGGAAAAGTTTCACATATGAAAAATGTGGACAATAAAAAATGGCGATGCTCATAACTGGTCAAATGGAAGCCATTTAACTTTGACCAAAAATGAGATGAATTGATGTTTATTTTGGCAAATTCGTGCAGCAGTGTTTTATTGTCGTATCATCCATGTTGCGTGATATTTGAGCATCTGCGAAACACGTCTGTTTTCATAGTCATTTATTTTGCTACAATTTTGCTTGTTAAGGAAGTTCTTTTTGAAACCGCTCGGATTTTGGTCTCACATTTTTTTATGAATGAGGACCATTCACTATACCATCAGCCGTACTGCTTTATCGTTGAAGACAGAATCTACAGTAATGTAGTAAGCACAGCGTGTACTCCCTACTTATCAACCTTGAAAAAAAGAAAAGCGACTGGCCCTTTGCTTATATACAGTGAATAGTTTATAGTACCGTTCTCGAATATAGTTTCGTCGAATAATTTCTTAGACTCATGTCAATACGTTCTCATATACTTTCTGATACCATTGTTAAAAATGCTAATAGAAAATCCATCTTTGAAATTGGCAGGACGAATACGCTTCCTCTGTACAAACATGACTATATGCTTAACATCCGCTTAAATATATATCTTAGCACAGAATTTGTCAAGGCCAAATTATAGCGATTAATGGTCTATCTATGAGAAGCAGGGCGGACTTTTATGAAAATATGGGTAGCTTAAATGGCTCCTTAGAAACAAAGAAACTGTTACATGTGATTGGCAAGAGTTATCAAATTAAATGATGTTTGCATAAGTGCCCCTGAAGGAACACTACAGGCATCCGTCTCCTCGTTTAGTGATTACGCATGATGATCAAGTACAAACAACAGTAAAGTATTCGGTTCCTCATGGCGTTGACTCACAAACGCTTTGGTCATGTGGCTTGTCCCGTGACATGCACTCTGTACCAGACATCTTGGACAAACGAATGATATTGCGTTTACCCCTAAACCTAACCTAACGGTGCACATGTGCATTCGTTGGCATCGAACTTTCTCGGCTGAGCCATCAACCAGAGGAAACGCGATACGCGATCGAAGCGAGTGTAGAGAGGAGTGGAAACGACGATGAGTATCCGACGAATGCAGAATGACACGTCGACCAACCTCACAGAGGGACAGATGTACTCCAATATACGACGACCTCAACCCCTGTCTGTGACGAGATGGTACGTTTTGGTACAGGCGATTGCGCGCAGACCGCTGGTTGGTGGTGGCAGCGCTGGCTCCTGCGATCACCGCCTTGGATGCCTATGACTGGACAGTGGTCAGCTGCATCAATTGCATGTCGGTCCATCGTGTTATATATCATTGGATAGCTCTCTGTGAGTGAAATTGGACGCTGTTGTCAGTGAGTAATTTCCTGTTGCAATTCTACTGTGACCCTAGTGCGATATCAGTACTTTAAAACGCAGTCTACGGTCGCGAGTTTGAATTTATACCATTGGTGGATGGTCATTTGTATCAATGATTTGACTCTGCCCATCACATTGCCTATCAGCGAGAAGCTCTCTATGAGCACAGCTTGAATTTTGGCCAATAAGGTACGCCAAGGCGTAACTGACTTTGATGTAGTATCAAAACTTTTAACATCAATCAAACTATTTGCCTAATAACTGATGGAAATGCATTAAGAGATTCTGTTCCATTCTTCTTCCTCCCATCAGTTCTCCTTGCGTATGATTACAGCATAAAATGAACAAATCCAAATTCGCTTCTGGCTGCCTGAAAAATGTGATATCGCCAAACGCGCCTTTTCTGAGGAACGTTCCTTCAGTCAGACAGGCGTTCGTATACTCGAGCCAATCAATACTTTCCTCAACGGCATCCGGTTTGCGGTCTACAGCTAAACTGGTACAACAATACCGGAGATGCTTCTGTTTAAGAAGCACCTTTCCAGCGATACCTACGATACTCTACACGCCTTCGACAGGTTCAACTGCGAATAGATCTGCATTAGAATGATCTACGTAAAGCTCAACATTCGTAGCAACGAACTCTTTTCTCTCAGGCAGCCTAGCAGCCCTTATATTTCTCACATAATTTCACAATTTCGGATGGATACTATATCACTCGTGTACGTATGTCTTAGATCGAAAGAGACTATTAAACATGAGGTCCTCAGAGACGACTGATAAAAGGTATTCTGATAGGACAAATGATACGTTTTCATATTTTGTCACAAAAACTCATAAATACTTAGGTTTCATCGCTATAACAAAAACTGTTAACGTTCAGAGTGATGCAATGAGTGACCAGATACGTCATTCATGCTTTCTAGGTGGCTGACAAAATCCTTTTACCAATTTTGTTTAATTTTTTATGCGCCAGCTAATTGCCAATCTTATCACTTGTTCCGAAATGATACTAGCAGTGTAGTAGCGAAAGGAAGCATGAATAAAAATTTACAAATCAGCTTTGTTTAATGCCTTCTCCTCACACAGTATCAAACACGTTGCAGATCAGAACCAAAATCGATAACTCGTTCCCAAGGCCGGCGCTGAGAGATTTCAGGAC